TTAAAATCTTTATATAGTGATGATCTTTGACTCCTTGACCTAAGTAGTGAATTTCACATTGAGCTATGATAGAAAATTAGTTTAACTAGATGTTAAGGATTAGCTTGGTAAGTAATGGAAATCGAAAAGGTCGAAAATTAGTATCGACGAAAGTTCAAGCTTTCTATTCGGTTGTTCAAGGTCACGTTAAATCCTAGATATGTAATTGACATATTTGGGACATGAGACATAAAGGGACATGATCATGACGCGATCATATATGTCTCATATGAATATTGAGGTGCGAATTGTGAAAATTAATCGAGAATCGGGTACCAATGGGGTAAGTAATTAAATGAACGGTTGAGGAATTAGTTCTATAAAATACTTTGGGATCTTAGGACTAGTGAAATGGATTGTAAACACGTCAAAATAAGCTGAGGATACTTGGTTTGTGCCTGCAAAGATAGATATAAAATCAGATTTTTGCTACAAGTGACCACCTCATACTTGAACACCTCGCGCTTGGGATGTTTGTCATTTTAGCACTCAATTCCTTCAACCTTAAGGCATCAATCTCGTGTCATACTCCCTAAGAACTGAATATAGGACGAATATATATATTTTATATCATAAATGGATCCAAAGATAATAGTAAGAAAGTCAAATGTTGCTGCAACGGAGACACCTCCTACTTACCTTGTGAAAACTTGTCAATCTAACATTTAATTCCTTCAGCCTTAAGACTTCCAGCACGTCTCCTAAATCATTATCACTTTATATTGGATAGATATACATCTTATAAGACACATATGCCTCCATATAAGGTACGGGAAAGGTCAAAGTTTGCTGCATGAATCCACCTCCAGCTTGGACAGCTCATGTTTTGATGATACTTGTCTTTTAATTAAACTTTCCTTCATCCTTAAGCATGATTCATGACTCCAACCCTTGAGGCTACTTATACATCTCTTGGATAAGACATTTAAACCTCCAAATATATCCCCAAGTGAAAGGGAGAGCAAAGGAAGCAAAGAGAGATAGAAAAGTAAGAAGCTGGGATTGCAGTTTGTAAAGGTTAGTTAAAGTCACGATTTTGAAGTTTTTCTTTAGTCCTTTTGGGTGTTTTATAGTATGATAAAACTCTAAAATTACTTGAGGTTAATTAGAAAGGTTGTTGATGATTTTATGATGGCAAAAAAAGGGGTAATCAAGTACAAGAACCTGAAAGAAACCAACAGAAATAGAGATGTGTTGATTGATGAATTTGGATGGTTTAAACTTTGATTTTGGATAATACTTAAGATTTAACTTGTATCTATGTAAATGAATGTTTTTACATGATAGTTATAAGGATATAAGTGTCCTTCTAATAGCTTGAAATCTGATTGGTAACATGCTAATAAAATAGAAACCGAAAACTGTCTGATTTTAGTGTTGTGGAAATGGAATATTTTGAGGCTGAGAACACTTTACTTGTCACGACTTTAGAGCATGATTACCTTCATATGCATGTTATAGAAATTTGGTAAAAATTTCGGAGTCATTGGATATAGATAAGGGGGTGAAAAGGGATTGGAAAAATAATTGGACGGTAAGGGAAATCTGAAAACAGATTCTGTCCAATTTTGTGTTTAATATGGTTTCAGCCTTTACATGTACATTAATCATCTCTTGGGCCTAGAAAATAGATTCTAAGGGTACTAGGTTGTCAACAACAATTGGATGATGTTGATGTTCATAATTTGACTTGAGAAATAGCGAGATTTATGGGATAAGTTTGTAATATCATCGGTAACTTGAAATGATGATTCCGTCTAAATTATTTTGGTGAGAATGGATGTATTTTGGGATTTTGTGCGTTAAGGTTATTAAATTGAGGATTCTCTTTAATATTAAATGGTAATACAGGTGATTTTCCGACTTCAAGTGAAAAAGGATATTGATCTAATCTCTATAGAAGCTTGCACATACAAAGGTGAAAAGTAAGTGAAAATCCATTTGCAACTACGATGCAAGAACGTAGTATATGTGACATAGTAATGTTGAAATATCTACATAACTTTGATAAGAGGCTTATAGCACATTATATGGTAGTTACGATCATTGAGTATGAGATTGCGTAACCTATTGACATCGATTTTCATTAAATACGTCATTTATGAGCATTTTCATATGCATGCACGACATGTGACATGGTTGAAAATCCTACATACAAAACATGATTTCAAAGTGAGTTTCATTATAAATGTTTTATTGACTACTACTAGGGCACCGAGGCATGTGAGGCATACTTATGTGATATGTTTGGCATTGCGGGTGTTACTTCCTAGATGATTGCAAAGGTAGATAGGGGATGGGCCTTTGGTGATCACGGGAGGGCACTGTGCCCTTGTAATATTATGATTATTGACGCTGTCGGGTGAGAGACTTCTTGGGTGATCATAGGGGTAGTCAGGGGATGGGCCTCTAGTGGTCACGAGAGGATGGTCCACTCGTCGGTGTCGATTTCATATTGGCCATTTGATTATTGATATTAATATTATGCAGAGCTCTATTCGATGCATAGTAGGTGGGTCAATGGCCCAATGAAATGAAAGATTTCAAGTGAAATAATTTCTAGTCGACTTTGATGAATATTGAAATATGATATTTTTTATCGTGATATTTAAAGTAAATGGCATGGTGTCATATGTCGTTATTACTCATATTCAGGACATGCATGATTTTGCTTACTAATCATTGGCTTATGTAGTTCTTGTATTGTAGGTGAGCATGGAACTACATAGAGAGCATGATTAGCTGTGGAGCTCCTATAAGATTCCAAAGTTTGATATACATGGATGACGACCTGCAGGGTTATTTTGTAGGCTGCCATCTGTTGGGTTATATTTTGGAATCTTATATAGTGTACTTTTGAAATGGCCCGTAGACATGTTTATAAGCTCAGAATATATATGTTGGATTATGACGATATGATTTTGAGTTTCGATATGTTATATGATCGTGTCACAGGTTATTAGAAGTTAACAAACTGGAACAAAAAAAATATATGTAAAATTCTATATCTATGTTGTGTATGGATATATCAATGTTAAATTGGGGGCGTGACAACATTCATCGACTAAATCATTTTCGTCACTGAAAATGTACATCTAGTGTGCAAAATTTTTGTTGTTAGACATTCAACGACATCAATTTTTTCCTTTCAGTGACGTAACAAAAATTATTTGAATAAATCTAGTGCATCAATTAAAAATTTCTATTGTTTTTCGTCAATAAATAAAGTAATAAAGAATATATATGACCAATTGTAAATTTCATCAAATTTAAAAATAAGTTTAGAGTAAGTATAATAAATTGAATAAATATAACTATGGTATTATGTTATTAAATAAAGTAATAGATGCGAAAAATTATGTTAATAACAAAATAACAGTTTCAATTGACTTTTTCATCGCTAATATTGAAATACTTAAGAAAAATAAAATCTTAAATTACTTATATAATATTTCATTATTTAATTAATGCAAAATAGAGTAAGAATATTTTACGTGACAAAGGCAGTAATCAATGATTTCATCTTATTCACCAATAAATGATTTAATCGATGGGTTGGTGATTGCCGTCATCATGTTCAATGGAATTTTTATGTGCGATCAAATTAATAAGATACCATCTGAAGTTGGATGCAACAAAGCCTCTTGAGAAAGTGTAGCTTGTAAATCAGGCAATCATTGACTGAATTGTTAGTGTTATCTACGAAAAATTTAGTTGACGATGTCATTTTTTTTTTTTTTGTATCAATTATTTTTAATCTTAGTTTTTGATTTAATTGTTTATTCTGTTGGAATGAGTTGCAAAGTTAATTACACCAATTAATTATTTTAATGAGCATCCAAAGTATGCTTTTGTTTGTTTATGTATATATATAATTTCAAACAAAGTCTTATCATTTGGACTAGCATATATTCCCATCACTTGTTACTTTAATCTGTTTTGAGGGAAAATGGCCATGGAACAAAAGGCCAAGGAAAAGTGAAAAGTTGACAAAAAAAAAAAAAGGAATCAACCAATGCACTCATAATTGAATCTCAATTAGATAATGGAATGTGAAAGTGAATTCAAAAATGGCAAACATGTTCATCAAAGGGTTCACGGGTTCATTTATGTGACTTCAAACACGTGAGACTTTTTTTTTTTTTTTTTTTTTTTTTAAATTATCCTTTTCTTCTTTAATATTATTCAATGCAATTCAATCTATCTATCAGAATTTACAATTTCAATACATATTTATTGATATACATATATTTTACGAAACATACACATGACGAGACGTACCTAAATTATTTGACTGGACTTTGACAAGGCACATGGCGAGACTAGGCACTAATGGTGTCAATCATATATGATCATGGCAACCTTCTCGTGGGCTCGGACATGATTTGGACTTTATGATGAGTCGAGTATACATTTATTATGCAATTCTAAATCCTAATCACAACCTTGTCTATTTGTCTCACCGACCCCATATATCTCAATATTATTATTTTTTCGACAGTTGACTTGATTGTCGGAGTACCAATGATTCACCGGTCCTTTTTCTTTGGACAATGATCTTAGGGCTCGAGTATCAGATAACATACAAGTAGACATGGAGGTGATAAGAATTTGTTGACAATGGGATCATTCAAATTTTAAGATCGACATCTATTATCGAAGTATAGATGCATACCATTTTAACTCCGTGTCTAGTCGACATGGGACTTTATTCGCAAATCTCCACAATTTCCTAGCATGAAACGTGTTTTAACCATCATAAAAATAGATTCCATTCTTTGACATGCTCGATCAGCATCAAGTCTTGTGAAGAATTTATGCATTTCAGAATTTAGTATAGAGTAAAAAATTTATGCATTTCAGAGCTCAGGTTATACTCACAAATGTTGAAAAATTCCAGTACTTGGCTCAATTCAAATCCCAAAGCCCTAATTTTGATTGCCAGCATAACATTTTTGCAATGTAGCAATATGATCTCCATTTTGTTTATTCATCTCATCAAACATAATTACAACATTGTTTTATAACAACAAACATATAATCCATTACAAGTCAAACCATGAAAAAAATAAAAAGGTAAAATAGCACACTCATCTTCACACTTCTGGGATCAGAATCCTAAATCTATGTTTCATCGACACGTCCGATGGCTTTCTGAAATCATGCTCAAGTCGAATTATTTCCATCGAAAGAAAACCTCGACTAGAGACCATAGCCGTAAGAAGAATTAAACCCGACAGCAGTGCCACGAATAGGAGTCCGTTGTCTGTTTACTTGACCAGAATGGAGATAAGTTCTCCTCCTGTAGTTAGTCGATAAGGTCGAACCCTTTTCAGAAACAGTGTCGAAATCCCAAGGACTGTGACCAAACTTCATGCTCACACCATGATCCTCTAACTGCATCCTTTGCCTTGGGGCACTCTGTGACCTAACTTTAGCCCGGAATGATTCCGTATTTGTCATGTAATTGGGATGACCCATGTTATAACCGAACTTGCTTTTGGAGCACTCACTTCTTGTGGGCGTAAATGGTCCTCTTCGACTTCTACTGCTACTAGGCCTAGAGGAAGGAGAATGTAATCTTGGGCTGTTTTCAGCAGTCCATGCAGCAGTTTGGTCTCCTTCTGGATAGAACTTTGCCGACTTTAAAGGTGAGACTTCCTCAGATGATATGCTAGGATTAGGTTGCTGAAATTTTCCTGCATTCCTAGAAAAGGAGCAGTCGGGTTTTGCATATTCCTGTCCATTTTCATTCCAAATCGAAGTACGTTGTGAAGTATGTAACATTCTGTCACTTTGTCTAGAGTTTAAACGAGGCTTCCATGTATCTATTTCAAGTATCTTGTCACTTCTCTCATCATCACAGCACCCGGTCTTAAGGGACATATCTTTATAATTATTCCATGCGCATTCTTCCATCCAGTGATCTAACCAGTTCGAACCTAGTTTTAAGTTTCCCATGTTCATATGTGATCTGGAACCAGATTTCTGCATTCGTAGAAGCGGAAAGGACAATTGAAGTCATTTGTAACACTACTATTTGGATTCGGTCACTAACATGGATCTGAAAAAAATGCAGAAGTAAAAATGCTTGCAAGTAAATTTAAGTAGTTACCTTGAGGATAGGGCCATCGTGTTTGGCACTGGACGGCTGCCATTCATAATTTTTTTGATTTGTAATGCCCTGCAGGTAAATGCTTCTATAACTGAATATCCATATCCACACAGACTGGGTTTCCCGGATCGTAAAATAGCATATTTAGTACTGATTACTAAAGTTTGGCTGAAAAAAAAAAGAGAGAGAACGAGACTCCACGTGGCAAAGTTTAATCTCCTAATTAATCAATAAAATTTTCACTTAAGTAAGTTAACGAGAGTTGGTAAAGGAGAGTTTGTTGAGGTCACTGTAGTCGAAAGAACTTAAGTTTTTCCTAATTGTTGTTAGCTAAAATGATGGCATCAGTTTGTAGGCAAACACAAGGCAACAGGGCAAATTCAAAAGCAAGTTAGAAATGATGCCAGAAATCTACTCGAAACAAGAGATTCACGCTAAAAGGAAATTATTCTTACGGGTTGATGAGTGCCAGAGAACTTGGCGCCTGGATTAGAGGACTCTGAAACATAAGCTCGATGTGCAGATGCTCGAGCCTGGATTCGAGCCATTGCTTGCATGCGACGAAGCATATGTGCACTTTGCTTTCTGACAATGTGACCTCTTACAAGGGCTTGAAGCTTTACAAGTCCCTTAAGTGCCCTCAATGCCCTTCTCGCCTGCAACACTTCCACGAATAAATCAAACACCAGTACTTTTTCATCTTCATATGCAACGATTGACAATCTAACGAACTTATAAATTTCAATCTGCATACCGCTTAATATTACAGAAGATAATCATAACTTAAGCCAAAATTTTCATAATCAATTGCTTGTAGGACAGCATCTAATTATATCAATTTGCAGAAAACCAGTTATAAGACGACAAAATAACTTTTATTAACAACATAGGGCCATGAACTACAAAGCTTAAGAATAAAATTCAGAAGCACCTTTTCTACAATGTATTTTAAAAAAAAAAAAAAAAAAAAATTTATAATAAGCATTTGTTGATCTTTTAAAATTCATGATCATATTCTACTAATCATTTCTTTGCCATAAATAAACATTTCGAGATGTAGTCAGCATTATTTGCTTTACTGCAAACGATGAGTGTCTGACCCAAAAAGCAATAGGGCATAGCAGCATAGGTTCGACTAAAAAAAAAAACTGGGAACCGGTTCAGAAAAAGCCAAGAATACATCAAGAACCAGTCAATTCACCTCAAAAGTTATTACTCTCTCCGTCCCATTTATATAGGCTCACTTTCCTTATTTTCTTGTCCCAATTATATAGTCCAGTTTCTTTATTGAGCTTATTTTGTTTTGTTCGTTTACTAATACACCCTTATTAAATTTGCCTAGTTATACCAATTTTTTCGCTTAATCTTTAAATTGTACAAATATAAATAAGGGAAAACTAGGCATGTAAATTGGCAAAATTTGTTTTTCCAATAACATTAAATAAGATTTCTTAATCCCTGTGAAAAACCAAACAAGACTATATAAATGGGATGGAAGGAGTATTCTTTTTTACTTAACACCGGTTGGACCTCAGTTCGACCCTGACCTTTTGACTCTTTTACCTTTCGAAACATTGGTCTTCATTGTTGCAAGGGCAGAAATCAAATTAGTTCACCGTTTGTGCTAAAAACTAACAAGAAAAATGGAAATCCGTGTGCCCTTTATTTAAGTGTCACCGCCACCCATTTATAAAAATTCAACACGTCAAATTTTAGCAATAAAACAAAATGGGCTCATGATAAAATAAAAATAAATAAAATCATTTTATGCGTAAGTGTCACCATCACACCATTGATTAATACTCTCGAGGACGTTAGTGTTCAAAAGAATTGAATCTCCAACTATTTTCCTCAAGATATTTAAATTTTTAAGCCAAGTAATATTCTAAACTGTCTAGTACAAGGAAGTAAAGCTACCTACACCTACTCTACCTGATTCAAGAAAATTTTACCATGTAAAACAAGTTAAGGCTCTAAAATTAAAAAGAAAAAGAAATGCACAATACTGTATAAATTGCTTTAGTCCCAACACCCCACCCCACCACAAACAAATAATGCATATTTAGCCCTGGTTTGGTTCAACTAAAAAGTTAGATTAAAAATTAAGTTAAAGTCAAATAAATAATTCTAACTACGCATTTAATGGGACCTACAACTTTTCAACCACATATTCCGTCAACTTTATCGAAATCTACTAAAATTCTTATTTTTATATAAACCAGACAGGAGCTTAGTATTTAATATTAGACGAAGATTGAACCATACCCCAACCCAGTCACTAACAAATAATTCATATTTAGTGCGTAATATTAGACTATATTGAACCGTTCACTAAATAGTTAATTTCTTTTCTCTATCTCAACAACGTCAATTACTATCTAATCTTGCATACCACATGCTAGTCGAGTCTGCAAGATTAGATAGTAATTGACGTTGTTGAGATAGAGAAAAGAAATTAACACTCGAGTACAAGGGATGGCAGCCTAATCAGGTCTCTATGATTGTGAAGTGTCGTAGCCCTTCAGTCCCACTCCTGCCGCCCATGGCCTTAAACATCAATTTAAACTTTTTTCAAAAGAAACCCACATTTCATGTTTAAAAAATAATAATAATAAATAAAATACCTTTTTTTATTTGGAAAAAAAATGATGGAGTGGAAAATATATATTTTTATTGGATGAATTCAAGGCTTAACCGAATATTTGTTATGCCAATTACCTATAATACATGTGATTCAGAGACAACATTGACTTAATCGAAGCTAAACTGATATAAACTAAAATCTACTTACCAAATAAGCTCGGAACTCTGACTGAATCTTGACAGCCGCCAATACGCGACGCCGGTCACTGTCGCCGCCGTGACTAAAATATGCCACGGCACTTCTACTACTTGCATCCCCACTCGTAAGCCTGACCACCTCGGCAGCCGCCTGGGCAGCCGCCAGAGCAGCTTCTGCCACAGCCGCCGTTGCTGCCGCCACCGCTATCGCATGCTTGTTGGCATCCAGTGCCTCACCATACGGGCTAGCCGAAGAATCTTCGTCATTTTTGAACTGCGATCCAAGGATGCTTCTCTGATTAGATGTATTAGATAATTTAACAAGACCCCACTTGTTTTTCTTCTTTTCCTTGCTCGCCACCTGCTGCGGTGACGATGTCGGCAGTGATGTTTCCGGAAGCGACTTTTTTGAGCCCAGAAGTGAACGTAACCATTTTCCGGCCTTACCCATATCTCAATGACTCGATAGGTTCATACATTTTCTTCAAGAAAGCATTTTAGAGAGAGACAGAGAGAAGGGAGCATTTATCTGAAGTGGAGGTGAGTTGAGGGTTTAAAAAAGACGCGCGAGAAGGGGGAGATTGGGGGAGACGAGCGGTGGTGGTTGGGACCCGTTGGTTTTAATGCAGACGAAATAGACAGGTAAGACCATGGTCCAACTCAAAATTGAAAAATCTGATTTTTGTTCATTTTTCTATGTAAATATCACGTGATTTATTTAGGCTTGGCTCTCATTCTTCTAAATTTTTTTAAAATTTATTTTCAACCGCATATTTTTTAATAAAATAATACTAGAATCCAAAAATTTTCTTTAATTTTTAATCATACATTCTCCATCAATCTACTGTTCAAAATGCATAATTTTCCCCAAAATAAGGATCAAACAAGGGCTTAATTATACATATCAAATGTGGTCATCTAACACTACTGATACTAGATATCATTATTCTTTACATAGGATACTTGGTACAAAAATTTGTCTGTGCATCATTGTCAGATTTACAAGATTAAGATTGTGTTTTTATCTGATTGAGAATAACTTTTTTGAAGAACATGTGATCAAACTTACTTTTAAAATTTACTTACAAATTATTTTATTTAGAGAATGTATGGTTGATTTTTTTTTTCTACTTATAAAAATAATAATAAAAAACCCTTATTAAGGAAGTCACTTTCATGTTAATTTTCTCCAATAAATCTTCTGGTACAACGAAGCACTTCAGAAAATTATTAAAATATGTTCAAAAGTAACTTCTTTATTTTATAACAATTTTTGATTTTGCAACATGTAAATAATAATCTATATACACATGATATGACGAGATATGATTGAGTCATAATTTTTTCAACCAAATAGATAAAAAAACTTCCACAATTGTTATGTAACTTTTTGTGTACAAGTAACATTATTCAACAATTTTTAACTTTTCAAAAGCAGTGGAAAAGATGAGAAAATGTAGTAACGGAATTTGGATTTTAAAAAACTAGGTCTCTGAAATTAATTTAATTTATTAATTTTAGCTTCTTTGACAACTAATTGGTTAATTACTAGATGTACTAAAAAAAATTAAAAAAAAATACCTGTTATAAATTACGAATAACTTACTAATCATATCCTAAAAAAAATAAACTCATAGTAAAATAAAATCCCATCAAAATAAAGCTCCTATATGCTGTAGTTAGATTCTTAGTGAATTTGAATAAAAATTAATGAAATATATGGTTAAAAAGTTGTAAATCTTATAAATATTGGATTAAAATTAATAGTTAATATATATATATATATATATATATATATATAACAAATAAAATTGCCCAAACATTTATCCCAAGTATCATGCAAAATAAGAGGCGAACTCAGCCTTTTTATTATACACATTGTAGAATAATGTTAGATGTACATTTTGATTGACAATTTCTTTTGACATCTCTCTTATGTGAAATAAATTTGGGTAGTGATGAGATGATTGTGGTCAAAATCAATGGTGTAGATTTAGCCTAACGGAAGAGTGAAAATCAGATTGTAATCCATAATGTATATGTAACATGTTGACACGCTCTGTGTGTGTGTGTGTGTGAAACATAAAGAGCCTTCATTTTATTGATGAAATTTATGCAGTATGTACTTGCAAATCTTGGTTTTTATTTTTGTTTCTACATGTAAAAAAATAATAAAATTATTGAGGAAGCTACTTTAGGTTGGTTTTATCTAAAAATTCTCCTAAATCCAACAAAACACTTTCAAAAAATTGTTCAAATATGCTCAAAAGTAATTTTTTTTTTTTATTTCATAAATGATTTTTAACTTTTCTACTATCAAAATAGTAATTAAGAACACCATTAAATGATTGTTGAGTCAATGTAGTAATGAAATTTGGACTTTTGAAAAACGAGATCTCTGAAATTAATTAATCGAATATACATAATTTTTAAATACCTTCTTTGACAGCTAATTGTTTAATTACTAAGCATACTTAAATCAAAAGAAAAATGTAACCTACAAATCATAACCTAAATAGAATAAAGTCATAATAAAATACTAATAACTTAATTAAGATAAAATCCCATCAAAATAAAACTCCTATTTGGTAATGTTAGATATCAGATTTAGTGAATTTTAATAAAAAATTGATGAAATATTTGATTGAAAAGTTACGAATTCTATAAGACGTGTGGTTAAACTTAATTGTTGAATTTGTCTTGAATTTCGTTAACTTTTTAATATACATAGAGGGGCAAAATAACTAAAGATTTTTTTTATTATTATTTTTTCATTATAAGAGATCACAAATGGAATTGCCCAAACATTTTATCTCAAGGGTCGGCAAAATGAGATGAGACCCCTTTTCATTATACACGTATATATATTGAATAGCCATCATTTTACTGATAAGATTTATGTATTATGTACTTGCAAATCTAAGATTTTAGTTCCCAAGGCAAGAGAGATCATGACAATGAAAAACAGATCAATCATGCTACTTGTATATTATCTTTGACATCGTTGTTTATATTGTGCCATGCGACAACACACCATTGAACAGTTTATAAAAAAAACACTTTTCCTGCCTATTGTTTTTTGAAAACAAATAGGATGTCATCCTCAATGTAAGAGAAATGATGTACAAATAACATTATTGAAAATCGATATACACTTTATCAAATTGAACTGAATCGCACTTTGCAATTCAACTTTTCCCAAAAGAATGGAGCTACACCTCCTACCAGATGCTTCTTCTTTGTCTGTACACATACTTGTGCATTCAAAATCTCTAAACATCGATTGCTGCAATCGATATTAGTGGACATGTCACTGTTATAGGCTAACACGTAATGAACTAAACCGTACTGGATTAGGAAGCATACAAAAGTTAACCTGCTAACAAAGATTGTGTTATCATTAACACATATAGTCCATTCATTCCACAATGATTATGTGAAAAATAATGTTATCAAAAGGTAAGATATTTTTAAAATTTACGCATAATATTATTTTATTGAAAGGATATGTTGTTGATTTTAAATGTTGTAGTGGTTTAAAATGCTTGCATATACTCGGGACGTTTTCGAAATGCCTCACATATGGGGTATGCGCGTGATAATGTGATCAATCAATTTCGTTGATCGCATATCCATCCTTATTTGTTAAAATGTACACACAATTTTGTGAAAAATTATATCCAAATTATCATAGTTTGACCCAACCCATTTTCATAACTTGAAAATAGAGAAAATTGAGCCCAACACACATCAAATTACGCCAAATCATCAAAGCTCGTGAATTATATTCAACAATCCATAGGGTTTTGACGTTTAAAAGAATAAAAAATCAAAATGAATTTTTAATAGAGCTGCAAGTTATCTACGTTGCGCCTGAGCCTCATTCTTCTTCAATCTTTCTATAGTCTCATTGCTGAGAAACTTGAAAATGCATTTTTTATTTTTTTATTGTTCACGTAATCAAAACTTTGAAGGTCCTTTTTCTTCTCCAGTTTTTAAATTTTGGGAAAGATATTTATAAGACTCGTTCACCTTTAGATTATAATGATTTCTAAAGTTTTAGTTTCTTTTATTATCAAATTTAATTCTCGCTTCAATTTAGTATAAACCAATAGAGCAAAATGATTCTTCCATGACAATTAATTCTATTTTTGAAGATAATGAACTAAAAAAAGTTTTAGAAGATATATAGCAATACGGTTTATTTTTTTTATTTTTTTGAAGAATATGTATAAAGTTCAAAGAAGACATTATTTTATTTATCTATTAATCTAGAATATTTAAAAAAAAATTAGAAATTAGAAAATACATTATTAAACATATGTTTTGCATAGGCCTGCAAGTACTTATAAGGCTCGATACTCGACCAAACTATATAGTCATGCATTACTTATTTTAGAACCTTGTATTTTTGCTTCAATTTTCCATATATATATATATATATATATATTTTAGGAAGCTAATATAATTCTTTAAAAATTCTTCTAGTTCAATAAAATACATTCAAAAATATACTCAAAAGTAACTTCTTTATGTTAGAAGCAATTTTTTTCTTTTCAAAAACACTGTGAAACAAGCCCATATGTTGTAGATTTTTTAGAATAGTAAGAACGCCATGGATTTTGAAAAATGAGATCTCTTAAATTAATTAATTGAATATACATAATTATAAATTAATTAATTGAATACACATAATTTTTAATTACCTTATTAGACAGCTAACTGGAAAAATCTATTATAAATTACTAAGAGTGTTTTTAATGGTGATGTAAAATAGAGACTTAGATCTCCAAATTGGTCAAAAATCTCTCTAGTGGAGAGATACAAAGGAGATCCAAATTGGATTTTGAACATACATAATTTTTAATTATCTTTTTAGATAGCTAGTTGGTTAATTACTAAAAATACTTAAATTAGAAGAAAAATCAGTTATAAATTACTAAGAGCATTTTTAATGGTTGTATAAAATAGAGATTTAGATCTCCAAAGTGGCCGAAAATCTCTTCAATGAGAGATTCATATTGCATTCTTTTGACAAAAATGTAAGAAAAGATATATATCTTTCGTTACATTCACAGGAGGTAGAAAATGAATTTAGATTTTTTTATTGGAGTAGAATTTGAATTTAGATCTATCGAAATGTAAGTGAAGATACAAAAATAGTTTTAAAGATAGCAATTTGCACCTAATTTTACACCATCATTTGAGATGCACTAATAACATACTAATCATATCCTAAAACGATTAAACACGTAACAAATTACTAACAACTTAATTAAAATCAAATCCCATCAAAATAAAGCCCTCATTTGATGTAATTAAATATCATATTTTTAGTGGATTTTAATAAAAATTGATGAAATATTTGATTGAAAAGTTATGAATTTCATAAAATACGTGGTTAAAATTAATTATTGATTTCAACTTAAATTTTATTAACTTTTTAACTTACATAAAAAAGGGACAAAATAACTAAAGAAAAAAGATTGAAAATATAAGAACTCACAAATAGAGTTACCAAAACATTTTACCTGAAGTGTCAGCAAAATGAGATGAGAACCCGGCCCTTTCATTCTACGTTGTGTATATATAGG